TTTTGATTTTTTTTTTTTTTTTTTTTTCAGGGTATCTGCTAAGGGTTTGCCAGTCTTCTTATCATTCACAATATGAACCCTTGGCAGGGTGTGGTGGCCTGTGCCTGTGATCACAGCACTTTGGGAGGCTGAGGCAGGCAGATCACTTGAGGTCATGAGTTCAATACCAGCCTGGTCAACACAGTGAAATCCTGTCTCTATTAAAAATACAAAAAATTGGCTGGGCTGGCCAGGTGTGTTGGCTTACCCCTGTAATCCCAGCACTTTGGGAGGCCAAGGCAGGCAGATCACTCGAGGTCAGGAGTTTGAGACCAGCCTGGCCAACATGGGGAAACCCTTTCTCTACTAAAAATACAAAAATTATCCAGGTATGGTAGCGGGCATCTGTAATCCCAGCTACTTGGGAGGCTGAGGCAGGAGAAACACTTGAACCCAGGACGTGGAGGTTGCAGTGAGCAGAGATGGCCTCACTGCACTCCAGCCTGGATGACAGAGCCAGACTTTGTCTCAAAAAAAACAAAAACAAACAAAAAAATTAAAAAACCCAATAATATGAACCTTCAGTTTCATGACTTTCTCTAGTGCTTCTCTATTCTTTGTTTTTGAGTCTTTTTTTTTTTTTTTGGAGACGGAGTTTCGCTCTTGTTACCCAGGCTGGAGTGCAATGGCGCGGCCTCGGCTCACCGCAACCTCCGCCTCCTGGGTTCAGGCAATTCTCCTGCCTCAACCTCCTGAGTAGCTGGGATTACAGGCATGCGCCACCATGCCCAGCTAATGCTTTTTGTATTTTTAGTAGAGACGGGGTTTCACCATGTTGACCAGGATGGCCTCGATCTCTTGACCTCGTGATCCACCCGCCTCGGCCTCCCAAAGTGCTGGGATTACAGGCTTGAGCCACCGTGCCCGGCCGTGTTTTTGAGTCTTTAATTTTTCTTTCTGCTACCTTTGGGTTTAGTTTACTTCTTTTTTCTATCTTTTTTTTTTAAGACAGATTCTGGCTCTGTCGCCCAGGCTGGAGTGCAGTGGCACTGTCTCCGTTCACTGCAACCTCCCAATCCTGAGTTCAAGCAATTCTTCTGCCTCAGCCTCCTGAGTAGCTGGGACTATAGGCATGGGCCATCACACCCACCTAATTTTTCTAATTTTCACATTTTTAGTAGAGATGGGATTTCACCATATTGGTCAGGCTGGTCTTGAACTCCTGACCTTGTCATTCGCCCACCTTGGCCTCCCAGAGTGCTGGAATTACAGACTTGAGCAACCACACCTGGTCTGTTTACTTCATTGAGGTATAAGGTTAGGTTGTTCATATGTAATTTTTTATTTTTTCATTTTCTTTTTTTTTTTGAGATTGGGTCTTGTTCCGTCACTCAGGATGGAGTGCAGTGGTGCGATCATAGTTCACAGAAGCTTGGTACTCTAGGCATCAATTGATCCTCATGTATCAGCCTCCCAAGTAGCTGGAACTACAGGTGCACAGTTGTAGAGATGGAGTCTCACTTTGTTGTCCAGGCTGGTCTGCAACTGCTGTCTTCAAGCGGTTCTCTTGCCTTGACCTCCCAAAGTACTGGGATTACAGGTTTGAGCCACCGTGCCTGGCCATTTCTTTATTTCTAATGTAAGCTTACATTGTTATAATATCCTTCTCAGCATTGTTTTTGTTGTAGTTCCTATGTTCTGGTGTGTCATTTTTCTTTTCCTTTGTTTCAAGATATTTTCTAATTTCCTTCATGATTTCTGAATCGTTGGTTTTATGCATGTTGTTTAATTTGGACATACTTGTAGATTTTTCCATTTTTTCTCTTGCTGCTAATTCCTGGTTTTATTTCATCATGATAGGAATCATTTTATACTTTCCCACTTTTAAATTTTTTAAAAATTTGCTGCTTGTCTTAACATGACATGTATTCTAAAAATTGTGCTATAGGCATTTAGAAAATTTGTATTGTGCACTCGTAACATGCTGTGTTCAGTATACATCTGTCTTGTCTAATAGGCCCACTGTGATGATTTAGTCCTCTATTTATTCTTCTATCTGGTTCCATCCATTTTTGAAAATGGGATAGTAAAGTCCACTTGTATATTGTGGAGCTGTTTATTTCTCTTTTGAATTTTGTCAGTGTTTTCATTTTATATTTAGGCGCTGTGATGTTTGGTGCTTATGTATGTATAATTGTTATATCTTCTTGGTGAATTGAATCCTTCGTTGTCATCATAAGCTTTGTGTCTTATAACAGTTTTTGAGTAAAAGCATATTCTCTCTGATGTTAACATAAGCACCGCTGCTCTCTGCTGGTTACCATTTGCATGGAGTATCTTTTTCCATCCTTCCAATTTCAGCCAGTAAATGTCCTTACAGTTTAAGGACGTCGCTTGTGGATAAGATTTGGTTAGATTGTGGTTTTTTCTGATTACAAAATTAAGTCTTTAGATTTCAAGTACTGATAGAGAAGGCCTTAATTACTGTTGTCATTTAGTCACATAATATCTGTAGATCTTGTAGCATCTTACAAATTTTTCTCCTTCATTTCTCTCTTGCTGCCGTCTTGTGTGTGTGTGTGTGCGGGGGGGGGTGGTTTGTAGTGACATGCTTTGATTTTCATCTTGTTTCATTTTGTGTATATTCTTTTGGCTTTTTATTGTTTTTTTATTTTTTGAGACGGAGTCTTGCTCTGTCACCCAGGCTGCAGTGCAGTGGCATGATCTTAGCTCATTGCAACCTCTGCCTCCTGGGTTCAAGTGATTCTCCTGCCTCAGCCTCCTGAGTAGCTGGGACTACAGGCACATGCCACTATGCTAGGCTCATTTTTGTATTTTTAGTAGAGACGGAGTTTCGCCGTGTTGGCCAGGACGGTTTCAAACTCCTGACCTCAGGTGATCCACCCACCTCAGCCTCCGAAACTGCTGGGATTACAGGTGTGAGCCACCGTGCCCAGCCTCTGTTGTTTCTTTGTGTGTAGTTACCATTGCAGTTACATAAAACATTATACAGGTCAAACAATCCATTTTAAAAGGGTAACAGCTTGGCTGGGCACTGTCGCTCACTCCTGTAATCTAGCATTTTGAGAGGTTAAGGTAGGCGGATCACTTGAGGTCAGGAGTTTGAGACCAGTCTGGCCAACATGAGGAAACTCCAACCTACTCAGGAGGCTGAGGCAGGAGAATCGCTTGAACCTGGGATGCAGAGATTGCGGTGAGCTGAGATCGTGCCACCGCATTCCAGCCTGGGCAACAGAGTGAGACTCCATCTCAAAAAAAATTTTTTTTAATTAAATTTTAAAACATAAAGTATTAACAGCTTGACTTTGATTATGTGCACACAGCACTACTTTATGACTCTCTCTCACTTTATGTTGTTAATGGCAGAAATTGCTTCTGTATATGTTCTGTCCCCATAAACATACATTATAATTCTTCATAAGATTTTGTCTTTCACATGCTAGGGAAGAATTAAAAGCAAAGCTACAAATAAAAAGTGCAGTGATACATGTCTCTGTTTGATCATTTATTTACTTTTTTTTCATTTTGAGATGGAGTCTCACTATGTCACCCAGGCTGAGGTGCAGTGGTGCAATCTTGACTCACTGCAACCTCCGCCTCCCAGGTTCAAGTGATTTGCCTGCCTCAGCCTCCCGAGTAGCTGGGATTACAGGCATGCACCACCATGCAATTTCTGTATTTTTAGTAGAGATGGGGTTTCACCATGTTGGCCAGTCTCATCTCAAACTTCTGACCTCAAGCAGTCCGCCTGCCTCGGCCTCTCAGAGTGATGAGATTACATTTGTGAGCCACTGCACCTGGCCCATTTATTTACTTCAGTGGAGAATTTTATCTTCAAATTTGGGTTACCAGTACTATCTGGATTCCTTTTATTTTATTTTGAAGGACTCCCTGGAGCATTTCTTGTTGGACAGGTCTAGAGCACTAATGAACTTCCTTAGCTCTTCTTTATTGAGGAAAGTCTAAATTTCTCCTTTGTTTTTGCAGGTGCCTTTTGCTAAATACAGTATTCTTGGTTGTTTTTAAGCACTTTCTTTTTACTTTTTTTTTTTTTTTTTAAAGACGGGGTTTCACCATGTTGGTCAGGCTGGTTTTGAACTCCCGACCTCAGGTGATCCGCCCGCCTTGGCCTCCAAAGTGCTTGGATTACAGGCGTGAGCCACCATGCCTGGCCCAAGCACTTTGAATATATAATCTCACTGCCTTCTAGCATGCAAAGTTTCTGCTGGAAAAGTACATGGTCTTACACATTTTCCTCTAGATGGCAAATATCTTTTTTGTTGCTACTGTCAAGATTCTTCCCTGTCTTTGATGTTTGATAATTTGTTTATAATGTATCTCTGTCAAATATCTTTGGGTTAATTTTAATCCTAATAGTCAAGCTTCTTGAATTGTATATTCAGGTCTTTCTTCAGAACTGGGATTTGGACAATTATTTGGACATTATTTCTTCATTTGCTATTTCTAATCCTCTGTCTTCTCCTTATGAACCTCTAATAATTTGAATATTGTTTCACTTGAGAGCATCCAAAAACTTATTAGTGTTTGTTTACTTTTCTTCACTGTTTTTTGTTTTTGGTCTTTGGAGCTGATACCCCCCCCCCCCCCCACCCCACCCCGAAACGGAGTCTTGCCCTGTTGCCCAGGCTGGAGTGCAACGGCATGATCTCAATTTACAGGTGCATGCCCACTATGCCTTGCTAATTTTTGTATTTTTAGTAGAGACGGAGTTTCTCAGAAGTTTTCAATTCCTGTTCTGTTTCTCTGCTCATAATCCCTCCCAAACTCACCTATAATCCTCCTGACTCCTACAGATTTGTCAGCGCCGCAGGGCATCACCTTACCCTTTTCTGTTTTCAGCACTGCCAATGTGATGTACAAAGTATGCTGATATTTCTTACAGTGTTTGAGTCAGATGAGGCAGATTCTAGTTTTTTTCATCAGACTCTAAACATGCCAAAATTATGGATCTGAATTTCACTCTTTTCTTGTTTTTTTAGGGAGCAGCTGTGCACTGGGAGGCAATGCAGAAAACAAACAAATTAAAACACAGCTTGGAGTATCCTTTCACTTACATCTGTCCGAACTGGAGCTATTTCCAGATGAAAGGGTAATAAATGGATGTAATCAAGTTGAAAACTTTATCAACCACAGTTCCTCTGTTTCATCTCTTCAAGAAATTTCTTCCAGTGTCAAAACCCCTGTTTTTAATAGGAATGATTTTGATGATTCTTCATTCCTCCTGCAAGAACAGAAGGTACACATTAGTGAAAAACCTTATGAATGCAATGAGCATAGCAAAGTCTTTAGAGTGTCTTCCAGCCTGACTAACCATCAAGTAATCCATACCACAGAGAAACCTTACAAATGTAATGAATGTGGCAAGGTCTTTAGTCGTAATTCACACCTTGCAGAGCATTGGAGAATTCATACTGGAGAGAAGCCTTATAAATGTAATGACTGTGGCAAGGTTTTTAGTTACAATTCAAACTTTGCACGACATCAAAGAATTCATATCAGAGAGAAGCCTTATGAATGTAATGAATGTGGTAAAGTCTTCAGCAATAATTCTTACCTTGCACGGCATCAAAGAATTCATGCTGAAGAGAAACCTTACAAATGTAATGAATGTGGTAAGGGCTTCAGTCATAAGTCATCTCTAGCAAATCATTGGAGAATTTATACTGGAGAGAAGCCTTACAAATGTGATGAATGTGGCAAGGCCTTCTATAGAATTGCACTCCTTGTACGACATCAGAAAATTCATACTGGAGAAAAACCTTACAAATGTAACGAATGTGGTAAGGTCTTTATTCAAAATTCACACCTAGCACAACACTGGAGAATTCATACAGGAGAGAAACCTTACAAATGTAATGAATGTGGAAAACTATTTAATCAACTTTCAAATCTTGCACGACATCGAAGAATTCACACCGGAGAGAAGCCTTACAAATGTAATGAATGTGGTAAAGCATTTAGTGAGTATTCGGGCCTTACAGCCCATCTTGTAATCCACACCGGAGAGAAGCCTTACAAATGTAATGAATGCAGCAAGGCATTCAGACACAAGTTATCCTTAACCAATCATCAGAGAATTCATACTGGTGAAAGACCTTATAAATGTAATGAGTGTGGCAAGGTTTTCAATCGGATTGCACACCTTGCACGACATCGGAAAACTCACACGGGAGAGAAACCTTACAAATGTAATGAGTGTGATAAGGCCTTCACCCGCATTTCATACCTAGCACAACATTGGACGGTTCATATGGGATAGAAACTACACATGTAATAAATATGTCAAAGAATTTAGTGTGCACTCAAGCCTTGCTACCCATCTGTTATTCCATACTGGAAAGAAATTTGCAAATGTAAAAAATATGACAAGGTCTTCAAACACAACTTTTTCTAATAATTCATTAGAGAATATATACTGAAGAGACTTCACAATTGTAATGAATGTGTGGAAAAGTCTTCAACAAAATTTCACACCTTGCAAAAGGAGATCTAAAGAAAACAATCAGAAATGACAAAGGTGACATTACCACCAACCCCACAGAAATATGAAAAACCCTCAGAGATTACTATGAACACCTACAGGCACAAACTAGAAAACTTAGAAGAAATTGATAAATTGCTGGAAAGATATAACCCATCCAAGATTGAACCAAGAAAACATTTAAAATTTATTTGGAACCAGAAGAGCCCAACCTAAGAAGAAATTGCAATGCTGAACAGACCAATAGTGAGTTCCCAAATTGAATCAGGAATTGAAAAGCTATCAAAAAAGCTCTGGACCCGACAGATTTATAGTTGAATTCTACCAGATTATAAAGAAGAGCTGTTACCAATTGTACTGAAACTGTTCAAAACATAGATCCAGAGGGACTCCTATCTGATTATATGAGGCCAGCTTCGTTCTAATACCAAAACCTGACAGACCAATGAAAAAAGAAAACTTGAGGCCAGTATTCCTGGTTAATATAGGTGCAGAAATCCTCAACAAAATAATAGTAAACCAGATCCATCTGCACATCAAAAAGCTAATCCACCATGATCAAGCAGGCCTTACTGTTGGACTGCAAGTTTGGTTCAGCATACACAAATCAATTAATGTGATTCATCATATACACGGAAGTAAAAACAAAAACCACATGACCATGATCATCTCTTTATATGCAGAAAGGTTTTTATTACAATTCAACATCCTTTCATATTGAAAGCCCTCAACAAATTACACGTCAATGGAACATACTTCAATAAGAACCATCTATGATGGACCCACAGCCAACATAATACTGAATGGACAAAAGCTGGAAGCATTTCCCTTGAGAACTGTAACACAACAGGGATGACCATCTCACCACTTCTATTCAACATAGTACTGGAAGTCCTAAGCTGAGCAGTCAGGCAAGATAAAGAAAGAAAAGGCATATACAAATAGGAAGAGAGGAAGGCAGTTTCTCTTGTAGATGATATGATTCTATACTTAGAAAACCCGTAGTCTCTGCCCATAGGCTCCTAGATCTGATACCCAACTTCAAAAAAGTTTCAGGATACAAAATGTATATGCAAAAATTAGTTGCGTATTTATACACCAGTAATGTCCAAGCTATGAGCCAAATCAAGAACATGATCCCATTCACAGTAGCCACAAAAAGTATAAAACAGAAATACAGCTAACCAGGTAAGTGAACGATCTCTGCAATGAGAATTACAAAGCAGTGCTCAAAGAAATCAGAAACAACACAAATTGAAAATATTTCACGAACATGGATAGGAAAAATCGATATTATTTAAATACTGCCCAAAGCAATTTACAGAGTTAATGCTCTATCTATCAAACTACCAATGACATTTTTCACAGAATTAGAAGAAAGCATTCTAAAATGTATTTGGAGCCAGAAGAGCCCAACCTAAATAGCAAAAGCAATCCTTAAGCAAAAAGAGCAAAGTTTGAAGCATCACACTACCCAACATCAAACCATACTACAAGGTTACAGTAACTAAAACAGGATGGTACTGGTACAAAACCAGACACACAGATCAATGGAATAGCTTAGAGAATCCAGAAATAAAGGCATATACCTGCAATCATCTGATCCTCAACAAAGCTGACAAGCAATGAAATAAGAAGTTCATTCAGTAGATGGTGCTGGTGTAGATGATTAGCCATATGCAGAACATTGAAACTGGACCCCTGTTCTTCACAGTATACAAAAATTAACTCGATGGATTAAAGACTTAAGTATAAAACTACGAAATCCCTAGAAGAAAACCTAGGAAATGCCATTCCGGACATAAGCCTGGGAAAAGACTTGATGAAGACCTCAATTTTTTTTTTTTTTTTTTTTTTTATGATCCAGTAGAGTTTATTTTTTCATTCCAAAGTTAATTTATAAACAAGGTGGGGCACAGTGGCTCATGCCTACAATCCCAGCACTTTGAGAGGCTGAGGCAGGCAGATCATCTGAGGTCAGAAGTTAAAGACCAGCCAACCAACATGAAACTCTGTCTCTACTATAAATACAAAAAGTAGCCGGGCATGGTAGCTAGCACCTATAATCCAGCTGCTTGGAGGCTGAGGCAGGAGAATGGCTTGAACCCAGAAGATGGGGTTATAGTGAGCTGAGATAGCACCATTGCACTCCAGCCTGGGCAAAAGAGCAAGAGTCATTTCTAAGCTTCCAGGGGGTCCTGACGTCTTAGCTGTGGTTCTCCAGTACCAGCAGGTCACAAGGCCACAAGAGGCTGGGCCTCTAGTAGCAGAGGACAGAGAACAGCGAAGACAAGACCCAGAATTCTGCCTGTAGCAAGACACAAAGCCACTGCCATATCCCAGAAGACCCCAATTTTTGATGAAAACAAAAATTGACAGATGGGACCTAATTAAATAACTTTGGCACAGCAAAAAAAAAAGCTATTAACAGAATAAACAGACAGCCTACAGAATGGGAGAAAATGTTTACAAACTGCATCTGATGAAGATCTCTTCCAGAATCTCTAAAGAAAAATCACCAATGAAAACACAACCCCATTAAAAACTGGGCCAAGCACATAAATAGACGCTTCTCAAAAGAAGACATACATGCTGCCAATAAGCATATGAGAAAAATGGTTATTATCACTAATCATTAAGGAAATGCAGTCAAAGCCATAACGAGATACTGTCTCACATCTATCAGAATGAGTATATTAAAAAGTCAAAAAATAGATGCTGGTAAGCCTACAGAGAAAGGGAAATACTTATACACTGCTGGTGGGAATGTACATTAACTCAGCCAATGTGGAAAGCAGTACAGCGATTTCTCAAAGACTTAAAACCACATAGCATTCAACCCAGCATCCCATTACTGGGTTTATACCTAAAGGAATATAATCATTTTGCCATAAAGATATATACATGTGTATGTTAATTCATAATAGCAAAGACATGGAATCAACCTAAATGCCCAACACCAGACCAGATAAAGAAACTGTGGTATATATGCACCATGGAATACTATGCAGCTGTAAAAAAGAACAAAATTGTGTGCTTTACAGCAACATGGATGGAGCTGTGGCTATTATCCTAAGTGAATTAATGCAGGAACAGAAAATCAAATATCCCATGTTCTCACTTATAAGTGGGAGCTAAACATTGAATACACATGTACTCAAAGAAGGGAACAGTGGACACTGGAGCTTATTTAAGGGTGGAGGTTGGGAAGAGATGAAGATTTAATAACTACCTGTTGGGTATTATGCTGATTACTTGGTGATAAAATTATCTGTACACCTAACTTTTGCAACATACAGTTGAGTCATGTACACAAACTCCTTGAACCTAAAATAATAAAACATGAAAAACAAATCTCACACCTTGTAAAACATCAAGGAATTTATGTTGCACAGAAACCTTACAAATGTAATGACTATAGCAAAGCATCTAGTGTGCCTTCAAATCTTAACTATTCATCAGATAATCTGTAATACAGAGAAACCTTACAAATGTAATGGAAGTGGGGCTGGGCACAGTAGCTCACACCCGTAATCCCAGCACATTGGGAGGCCAAATCAGGTGGATCATCTGAGGTTAGGAGCTCAAGAGTAGCCTGGCCAACATGGCAAAACCCCATCTCTACTAAAAATACAAAATTAGCCGGGCATAGTGGCATGGCTGTAATCCCAGCTACTTGGAAGGCTGAGGCAGGAGAATCACTTGAACCCTGGAGGCAGAGGTTGTAGTAGGCTGAAATCACGCCATTGCACAAGAGTGAAAAATCCGTATATTTAAAAAAAAAAAAAATAGGAACTTTAAATGAAAGTTGCCAGGAAAAAACAATAACAACAAAGCTAGGAACAAAGTGCACCGGTACAAGGCACCATGACTGGAACTTCCAGAACCGGAAGTTACTCTGGGTGAGGCAGTGTGAGCACGTGGCGGGTGAATGTGGAGGCCGAGGACTCGCTGCACACTACTGTAGGTTTTAGAAACACTGGACACGGCCGGGCGCGGTGGCTCAAGCCTATAATCCTAGCACTTTGGGAGGCCGAGGCGGGTGGATCACGAGGTCAAGAGATTGAGACCATCCTGGTCAACAAGGTGAAACCTCGTCTCTACTAAAAATACAAAAATTAGCTGGGCATGATGGTGCGTGCCTGTAGTCCCAGCTACTCGGGAGGCTGAGGCAGGAGAATTGCTTGAACCCGGGAGGCAGAGGTTGCAGTGAGCCGAGATCGTGCCATTGCACTCCAGTCTGGGCAACAACAGCGAAACTCCGTCTCAAAAAAAAAAATAAATAAAATAGAAACGCTGGACACTTGGGCTACCCTAAATTTATTTTTTAAAAATAAGATAATTGTGCTGTGATGTTACCACGGCTGCAGTGTCACTAGGCAGTAGGAATTTTTTTTGCTCCATTGTAATCTTACGGTACCACCGTTGTATATGTGGTCAGTAGTTGACCAAAACATCGTTATATAGCGCATGACTACTTATTTTCACTGGCGTCCTTTGCCATTTTAAAGTGATGGAGAGGCCGGGCGCGGTGGCTCACGCCTGTAATCCTAGCACTTTGGGAGGCCGAGGTGGGTGGATCACCTGAGGTGAGGAGTTCAAGACCAGCCTGGCCATCATGGTGAAACCCCATCTTTAAAAAAATTAATTAATTAATTAAATAAAATAAAAATAAAGTGATGGAGATCTTTGCACCATAATATGGTAGGCTAAGTAATGGGTTTCTGAAACATGTTAAGAGACAAAATACTGTAGGACTGAGGTTAAATTATTACTGATTACATATCATATGATGGATTAATAATGAGGGCACATGGCAGGACTTGGTGGCTCAAGCCTATAATCCCAGCACTTTGGAAGGCTGAGGCAAGTGGATCACCTGAGGTCAGGAGTTCAAGACCAGCCTGACCAACATGGTGAAACACTGTCTCTATTAAAAAAAATTTTTTTGGGGGGCCGGGCATGGTGGCTCACGCCTGTAATCCCAGCACTTTGGGAGACCGAGGCGGGTGGATCACGAGGTCAAGAGATCGAGACCATCCTGGTCAACATGGTGAAACCCCGTCTCTACTAAAAATACAAAAAAATCAGCTGGGCATGGTGGCGCGTGCCTGTAATCCCAGCTGCTCAGGAGGCTGAGGCAGGAGAATTGCCTGAACCCAGGAGGCGGAGACTGCGGTGAGCCGAGATCGCGCCATTGCACTCCAGCCTGGGTAACGAGCGAAACTCCGTCTCAAAAAAAAAAAACAAAAAAACTTTTTTTTAAATAATGAAGGCACATTAAATCTAGGAATAACGTAATTACTGACATTGAAGAAAAGACAAACACTAAAAGGGTCATTGAGACAGGGTCTTGCTCCGTGGCCCAGGCTGGAACACAGTGGCATGAACACAGCTCACTGTTGCTTCAACCTCCCAGATTCCAGCAATTCTCCCATCTCAGCCTCCAAGTAGCAGGGAACACAGCCACGCACCACCATGTCTGGCTACTATTTATTTAGTAGAGACAGAGTGTTGTTCTGTTGCCCAGGCTGGTTTTGAACTCCTGGGTTCACGGGAGCCTCCCACCTTGGTCTCCCAAATGCTCGGATTACAGGTGTGGTGACACCCATCCACCATTTCTTTTTCCTTTTTAACAGAACTGTCACAAGCTGCATCTGCACCCGAAAACTGCCAATCCTCAGATTTTTTTTCATATGAGACTTATCATAATGTCAACTTTTCCACAAACAGATATTGCCTAAGGCCAAGAGGGATCATAGTTTCACTATAATCAGCAGACCACAGATTTTTTATTTATTATTATTATTATTTTTTATTTTATTTTTTATTTTTTTGGGGGACGGAGTTTCGCTCTCGTTACCCAGGCCGGAGTGCAATGGCACGATCTCGGCTCACCGCAACCTCCGCCTCCTGGGTTCAGGCAATTCTCCTTCCTCAGCCTCCTGAGTAGCTGGGATTACAGGCACGTGCCACCATGCCCAGCTAATGTTTTGTATTTTTAGTAGAGACGGGGTTTCACCATGTTGACCAGGATGGTCTCAATCTCTTGACCTCGTGATCCACCCGCCTTGGCCTCCCAAAGTGCTGGGATTACAGGCTTGAGCCACCGCGCCCAGCCCAGACCACAGATATTTTCTGTGGATAGTGCTGTGTCCATGAAGCACATAATGTGCCCAGTTTTCAGAAAAAAAAAGTTATTTATATTTTATCCATTGCCTCTCAGACACTCAGCTTCTTGATAGAACTGTCACACAGTTCTATTCATTCATCATGACATGAAAAGAGGCTTTACACCGACACCTCTGTTATCCTGAAAATAGTGTAATTTTTGTAGGCTGGATAAACTTCACGACTATAATTGAAGTGTGATTTAAATATCAGATAATAGTAATAGGATATAACATCAACTGTTACCACAAGTGTGGATTACATTAAATTACAGTCAGAGGCAGCAGGATTTGTATAGAGTGTATATGACCAAATGCTCCAGGAGTTATTTCAGCGACTCATTGGGACATTGCTGTGGACCAGTTTTTATGAAGAAGAATTTTCTGACATAAGCACTTCTCCAGACTCCTGAAGCCCTCCTTCCCTTCACAGATGCGCCTCTCAGAATAAAATAGAACATATTCACCAGACCTCCTCCTGCCCCCAGGACGGTGGGCTCAGTGTGAGGTTACCACAGCCAGTGTATCTGTGAGAGGGAGACAGTCAGACCCTGAGTTAAAGGCCTGTGATTCTGTGACTTCACCTCCCTGAAGAACGACAGTTATACTTTACCTTTAGCATAGTGGCAGTGCGTGCTAGGGAAGTCAAAAATAATTTTTCTAATAATTTGTCTCAGTCCTCAGTTACCAGAAACAATTACAGTATCGAGTGAGCATCTTCCATCTGCAGTATTTGGAAGGATTTTTTATTTCCATGGACCCTGGAAGCAGATGGGGGCTCACATGGAGAGTGCGGGACATGTGGAGGTTTGAGCCACAAGAGATTCTCCGCTAAGTGTACCTCTCACGGGACCTTCTGCTTCCTTAAGTTTTGCTCAGAATCTGACTTTTTCCTGCCTCAGAACCATATGCTCCCAGACCCCTTCTAGATTATGGAAGACAAATGGGATACCATGAAGAGACCGAGAAGGATCTATTAATGAACTAAGAGTGAGAGGAAGAATGTGATGTCAATAATTGATAGTTTGAACCATTAAATGGCACTTTCTGATATGCATGAATGATTAAATAAATAAGTAATTGGGAGAGAAGAGACCTAGCTTCTATGCAGAAGAATTCCAAATAACTCTTGTAGACACTTGGTGGAATACATGTAACTCCCAACTCCACGAATACAGGCTGCACACAGCTGCTTCCTTTTAAACAGTAGAGTGTAACAAGTGAATGAGGGGAACTTCTGGCTGACAAACCTGACAGACAGCCTCAGGTGATCAAGGTCAGCATCCACAGGGGATTAAGTCACGTTAACAGTGTGCACCTTTGATAGAATGTGATAAAAATGGCTCTTCTCCTTCGTCTTTCTACCCAACATACCTGACCTTTGTCTAACCATGGGAAACATCAGACGCATCCCAACAGAGTGGCAGTCCCCAATAGCACATCAATGGCCTGCTGTACCTAACCAGGACTCCTCAAAGCTGACCAGGTTATACAAAACAAGGACTCAGAGCCAACGGGAGCCTAAAGACACATAATGCCTAAACGTAATGTGGTGGCCCGCATAGGATCCAGGCAAAGTGTTGAGTACCAGCCCCAACCCTGTTTGTAGGTGCCCAAGCCCCAGCACTGACAAGGGATTAAGAAAGGAAATAAAGGGCCGGGCGTGGTGGCTCACGCCTGTAATCCAAGCACTTTGGAGGCCAAAGCGGGCGGACCACCTGAGGTCAGGAGTTCAAGACCATCCTGACCAACAAGGTGAAACCCCGTCTTTAAGAAAAAAAAAAAAAAAAAAAAAAAAAAAGGAAATAAAGACAAAGAGTTCAAAGAGTGGGTCCAGGGAACCAATGTAACATACGAGGACCACGTTGGCCCCGAGTTCTGGTTTCCACAGGTTTTTATTAGGTGTACACACTCGTTAGTTGAGGGGTGGAAAGCAGGGGGTGGTTATCAGGGGAGGCCTTGAAACTATCTGGGGAGGCCTTGAAACTGTTGTGGGGCAAGATAGCCACGGGGAGAAGCGTGCATCATTAGAATACAGTGGGTGGTTCTTCTGAGAGGAGCTAATCTAGTACACCACGTTTTACCACTGATCGTTATTAATAATGCAGCTGCAGCTGAACACAGATGGTAGGGCGCCACCAGTTCTGACCACACACGATGCATCAAGGGGCTTTTTTTTTTTTTTTTTTTTAATGAGACAGAGTTTCGCTCTTGTTACCCAGGCTGGAGTGCAGTAGCGTGATCTCGGCTCACCGCAACCTCCGCCTCCCGGTTCAAGCGATTCTCCTGCCTCAGCCTCCCCAGAAGCTGGGACTACAGGCGCGCGCCACGACGCCCAGCTAATTTTTTTTTGTATTTTTAGTAGAGACGGGGTTTCACCGTGTTGACCAGGATGGTCTCGACCTCTTGACCTCGTGATCCACCCGCCTCGGCCTCCCAAAGTGCTGGGATTATAGGTGTGAGCCACCGCTCCCGGCCCTGCATCAAGGGGCTTTTATCTCCCGAGCACTGTGGACATAGGGCAACTGAGATTACCCCATATTCTGACAACAGAGGCAGAGCAGGAGGTGTTGCACTACCTCCGCCCGCAACGCCTTCCTGCCCTGCCAGCTCCCATCTGCAAAGACCCTCCTGGATCTTGTGAGCAGAGGTCGCCGACCTTTCCCGAGTGCTACACAAGCCCTGTTTACAAGACCCCTGTGCAGACCTCATGTTGGAAGGGAGTTCGTGGGACCAAGGCAGTGCTTTCCTGCCCTGCAGCCACACCGCGGATGTGCCATGGTTAACGGGGCGCTCTCAGACGGTCTAACTTTAGGCCTCCCATTGCCGCTTCTGCGCGTGCTTTTACAAGCTAACAAGCTGTTCTCTTGTGCTGTGCTTTTCATTCACTATTGTTTATTTCAGGGTATAAACTTCAGTGTACCCAGAGCTCTATAAGCTAATAAGCATATCAAACTTATATTTGTTTAATCAGCCATAGTAGAGACAGCATGTCTGCCCCTGGTCATCTGAGCCCACAGAAAAAGAACTCCGGGTTTTGCAGGCAGTCTGTGGAGGGACGCCCCGGCCCCGCCCCTTCGCGTCCCGCGACCTCGGTTGCGCGCGCAGTTTTTTGCCGACCCGGAAACAGATCCCGTGGTTCGAAGGTCGTGCCGTAGCGCGGCGGTTTCCTTTTGTTTGGATTCGGTCTGGGATTCCCAGCTCCCCCGCTGTTCTGTACGGGGATCTGTGGGCCGACGAAGACCTTGAAATCTCCGCATCTCCATTCACCCCGTGTCAATTCAGGAGTCTCTGTGAGGGTCCGGCGGTCGCTTCCTCGTGTGTTAAAATCGCTCGGCGACGGGTCCTGTTCCCGGTCGTTCTGCCTTGGGCCAGGTAAACTCGGATTTTCGAGACTTCTTTCCGTAGGGAGAGCAGAGAGGAAGCCGAGACAGGGACGGCAAGAAACGGGCAGCCGTTTATGGAAATTGGGGACAAAGATGGGACACGAAGAGGAACTAGGGGTAAAACAACTTGCCGTAATGGAGCAGAACACGTGGAAGAGAAGGAACAGAGGGAAGAGGGGGAGAAACAGCAGGACAGGAAAAGGTCCGGAAAATGAAGTGAAGAAAGGCGGGAGAAAGCAGGTGAGAATGAGAAAGATGTGCACAGTGAGGGAGGGAAACATGCTCATGACAGGAGATAGGGACCCTGAGTGCAGGTGAGTGAAGAGTTGATTGAATATTACGATTAGGAGGCCGTGCGCTGTGGCTCAAGACTATAATCTTGTAAATATAAAATTTATTTTAAAAATACAGGTGAAGATGAGACTTGCAAAGTTCCTGCCTATAAGGCAAGTGCATTTTGCAATTCTTGGCATCACAGGTTAGCTTCCATTCACAATCCCTATTCAGCCATAGGTCAGTGACTTGCCTCATTCAGGTGTAGGTGAGTGTGTAAGATAGAAGGGAAAACCAAAGTGTTTTTCCTACTCTGACAATCAACACAACAGTGAACAACCAACACACAATGCCACATCTCTGGTCACCAAAATGTGTGGGGATTATCTCCCACCAACAAGCAATTCATCAGACACCACCTGGGTATTCTGTAATTTAACTCAGTTTCACACTTAGCACTCTGTATGTGGAGTTAGCATCAGATTCTACAGGTTGAGAGCTCCGTTCCACAAGACTGCTCCCACGTCAAGTGCCACTTGCAAGTCTTGGGTTGGGACCACAGCCTTATGACCAATCAACCAACTATAAACTGGGGAATTTTGCTCACATTTTGTGAATTTGCTAGAGTGGTTCACAGAACTTAGGGAAATTTTTCGCTTAGTTTCATCTCTGTTACAAACAATATTACAGGGGATACAGATGAACAGCCAGATGGAAGAGCCTTCCTAGTAAACTAATCAAAATGAGGGGCTTTTGGACCAGGCATAGTGGCTCTCACCTGTAATTCCAGCGCTTTGGAAAGCCAAGGCGGGCAGATCACTTAAGGTCAGGAGTTCATGACCAGCCTGGCCAACATGGTGAAAACCCATCTCTACTAAAAATACAAACATTAGCTGGGCATGGTGGCATATGCTTGTGGTCCCAGCTACTTGACTGAGGCACAAGAATCTCTTGATCCCAAAAGGTGGAGGTTGTAGTGAACTAGGGTCGTGCCACTGCACTCTAACCTGGGCAACAGCAAGACTCTGTCTCAAAAAAAAGCAGAGGCTCTTGGAAACCATGCTTTTGTTGTTGTTGCCCAGGCTGGACTACAATGGCACAATATCTCAGCTCACCACAACCTCTGCCTCTCGGGTTCAAGTGATTCTGCTGCCTCAGCTTCCCCAGTAACTGATATTACAGGCACGCACCACCATGCCTGGCTAATTTTGTATTTTTAGTAAAGGTGGGATTTCTCCATGTTGGTCAGCCTGGTCTCAAACTCCCAACCTCAGGTGATCCACCCGCCTCGGCCTCCCAAAGTGCTGATATTACAGGAGTGAGCCAGTGTGTCCAGTCAGAAACCATGCTTTATTTATTTATTTATTTATTTATTTTTTTTAAATAGAGACGTGGTTTCACCATGTTGGCCAGATGGTCTCGAACTCCGGACCTCAAGTGATCCGGCCCGCCTCGGCCTCCCAAAGTGCTGGGATTACAGGCGTGAGCTTTTTATCTGCATCTAAACTGAGGGGCGGTCTTGTGGGACTGCATCTTTAACCTGTGGGATCTTTGCCTGCCTCCAGGTAGACGGTATCAAAATTGAGTTAACTTGTGGGATACACAACTGTGAGTGTACCACAGAACTGGTCAGCATGGGCTGGACGTGATGGCTTACACCTGTAATCCCAACACTTTGGAGGCTGAGGTGGGCGGATCATTTGAGGTCAGGAGTTCGAGATCAGCCTGGCCAACACGACAAAACCTCGTCTCTACTAAAACTACAAAAATTAGCTGGACATGATGGCACGTGCCTGTGATCCCAGTTTCTCGGGAGTCTGGGGCAGGAGAATCACTTGAACCCAGGAGGTGGTGGTTGCGGTGAGCCAAGACTGCACCTCTGCATTCCAGCCTAGGCAACTGTGACACTCCATCTCAGCCATGGGGGAAAACACATTGTGGTAACAAGAGGTGTAGTATTCTGTGCTGAATATGAGTGTAGTAAACAGCTTGGTTTTTCTTCTTACCTCAACCAGTAAAGGACTTGGTGCATCCACTTGTCTGAGGGCCTGTGATATCTACTCAGTAGCGATGCGGAATGATCTGTCCCTGCCCCTGGCTGCTGCTGATCCTGAGATTGTCCACCATGTGCCAGCCCCACTCACAGTCTCAGAGTGGGATGACATGCTTCCTCTAAGGTGTTACTAAATTTTTTGTCTACGAAATTATTTTTTATTTTTATTTTTTTGAGATGCAGTCTTGCTCTGTCACCAGGCTGGAGTGTAGTGGTGCAATCTCAGCACACTGCAACCTCTGCCCCCAGGTTCAAGTGATTCTCCTGCCTCAGCCTCCCAAGTAGCTGGGACTACAGGGGTGCGCCACCACGCCTGGCTAATTTGTGTATTTTTAGTAGAGACGGGATTTCGCCATGTTGGTCAGGCTGATCTTGAACTCCTGACCTCAGGTGATCCACCTGCCTCAGCCTCCCAAAATGCTGGGATTACAGGTGTGAGCCAGGAAAATTATTTTGATCGGCATTCTGAAATGGAGGTATTATCCATTAAAACACACACACACTCACATACTCACTAAAGCCTTTATTTTCTTTCCTTTCTTCAATCTTTAAGAAAAAAATTACTGTATTTACTACATTTCTCCCTGCAGGAAGTACCCCTCTTGCACGCTGTATTTTAGAGCATAGTACACTAAAATCTTGTTTATAGCTTGTCTTCAATTCTTGCCTCCAGTTCTTGGTTGACTCCATCCAATCAAGTTATCACATCTACCATTCCAGTGCTCCTTTATCTGAGTCACCAGTGACCTATCTGTTTCCAAATTTATTTATTTATTTATTTATTTATTTAAAAGACGGGGTTTCACCATGTCGGTCAGGCTGGTCTCGAACTCCCGACCTCAGGTGATCTGCCCGCCTTGGCCTCCAAAGTGCTTGGATTCCAGGCGTGAGCCACCACGCCCAGCCTAAATTTATTTTTAATTAATTATTTATTTTATAACGGATGAGGTCTCCCTCTTTTGCACAGGCTGGAGTGCAGTGAGGCAATCATAGCTCACTGTAACCTCGAACTCCTAGGCTCAAGTGATCCTCCTGCCTCAGTCTCCTCAATAGGCAGGACTACAGGCATGCACCACTATGCCTGGATAATATTTTTATTTATTTATTTATTGAGGTGGAGTCTTGCTCTGTCTCCAGGCTGGAATGCAGTGGCACCATCTCGGCTCACTGCAACCTCTGCCTCCCAGGTTCAAGCAATTCTCCTGCCTCAACCTCCCGAGTAGCTGGGATTACAGGCACACATCACCACGCCCAGCTAATTTTTGTATATTTAGTACAGACGGGGTTTCGCAATGTTGGCCAGGATGGTCTCGATCTCTTGACCTTATGATCCACTCACATCGGCTTCCCAAAGTGCTGGATTTTCAGGCATGAACCACCATGTCCAGCCTGGTTTGTTTATTTTGGAGACAGGGTCTGACTCTATCTCTGGGGTTGGAGTGCAATGGCATGATCACAGCTCACTGCAGCCTGGACCTCCTGGGCTCACAATTCGCCCACCGTAGCTTTCCGAATATTGGGACTACAGGTGCATGCCAGTTTGCCTCTAATATTTTTTTTTTGTAGGGTCGGGGTCTTGCCATGTTGCCTAGGCTAGTCTCGATTTCCTGGGCCAAATCGATTCTCCCATCTCAGCCACCCGAGTAGCTGGGACTTCAAGTGTGTGCCACTGTGCCATGCTAATATTTTGAGTAGAGTTGGGGTCTTGCTATGTTGCCCAGACTGGTTTAAAACTCCTGAGCTCAAGTCATTTTCCCACCTCAGCCTCCCAAAATGTACCCAGATGGAGGCATCATTCATTCAAATGCATTCCTACACAAAATAAAAGTTTTATTTTCCTTCTACTCTTCTATCTTTAAAACAAAAAATATTACATTAACCACATTTCTTCTTCTAGAAAGTACCCCTCTTTTGTGCTCCCAAAGCTCCGGAATTAAAGGGATGAGCCGCTGCATCAGGCTTAATACAGTTTGTAAAAATTTTTTTTTGAAACAGAGGCTCGTTCTGTTGCCTAGGCTGGAGTACAGTGGCATGATCTCGGCTCACTGCAACCTCCACTTCCTTGGTTCAAGTGATTCTCCTACCTCAGCCTCCTGAGTAGCTGGGATTACAGGCATACGCCACCATATCCCGCGAGTTTTTTGTATTTTTAGTAGAGACGGGGTTTCACCATGTTGACCAGGATGGTCTCGATCTCTTGACCTCGTGATCCACCCGCCTCGGCCTCCCAAAGTGCTGGGATTACAGGCTTGAGCCACCGCGCCCGGCCATCCCGCGAGTTTTATGTATTTTTCATAGAGATGGAGTTTCACCATGTTGCCCAGGCTGGTCTTGAACTAATGAGCTCAGCCAGTCTGCCTACCTTGGCTTCCCAAAGTGCTAGAATTACAGATGAGAGCTTCTGCACCCGGCCAGTCCCACTCTAATTTGCCCAGGAATTGAATCGTCTGTTTTTCCAGTATGTTTAAGTCATACAGTCATCCCTCAATATCAAAGGGACTGTTTCCACAACCCCTGAGGATACCAAAATCAGGTGATCTTCAAGTCCCTTATGTAAAGTTGGGTACTACAGTCATACACTGCATAATGACATTTTGGTCAACAAGCAGATCTATGATGGTGGTTCCGTAAGATTACACTGGAGCTGAAAAATTCCTGTTGCCTAGCTACATCAGAGCAGTCATGACGTCATAGTCTAGTGCATTCCTTGTGTCTGTGATGATGCTGGAGTAAACAAACCTAGGTTGTTACCAGACAGCTTTAACCTGGGTGTGGGTGAGGATGACATTGCGATGGTCCTAGAGGGGGTTCATGAGAAATAAGCGAGTAAGTTGTTGAAACTGATACAAGAACACGTAGCTGAAGAAGAGGTAAGCGGGTAGGAAAGTGAAGGAGAAGAGAAAAAAAAAATCCAGGAACTTTCACAGTGAAGGGTTTAGCAGAAACTTGTACAGACCTCAACAAGCTTCTTAAAAAGTTTGAAAACATGAACTTCAACACCAAAAGGTGTTTATTTATAATTACATATTTATTTTGAGACAGAGTTTTGCTTTGTCCCCCAGCTTGGAGTGCAGTGGCGCGATCTTGGCTTACTGCAACTTCCACCTCGTGGGTTCAAGCCGTTCTCCTGCCTCAGCCTCCTGAGTAGCTGGGATTATAGGCGCCTGCCACTACGCCCAGTTAATGTTTGTGTTTTTAGTAGAGACATTTCACCATTTTGGCCAGGCTAGTCTCGAACTCCTAGACTTGTGTGATCTGCCTGCCTCAGCCTCCCAAAGTTCTGGGATTATAGGTGTGGACCACCGCGCCCAACCTCAAAAGGTGTTTATTAATAGGAAAGTTCATGGTTCATTATCTGCTCACAAGAACATTTAGGAAGAAAAAATAAGCAAGCAAATCACTGCAGATATTTTTCTTCCTTTGTCTATTGTTTCCCAATCTGCTGACTTTCAGATTCACGGCTCAGACGAACTGAAAAGAGTGCCTACTCAGCTGGAAGAGCCTCAGGCAAGTTCTTCAAGAGGTATCCAGAAGAAGGCTTTGTCATCCCAGGAGATGACAGCGCCATACATGTTATTGCCCCTGAGGACCTTCCATTGCGACAGGATGTGGCACTGGAAGACAGTGACATTGATGATCCTGGCCCTGTGTAGGCATTAGGCTAATGTATGTGTTTGTGTCCTGGTTGTTGAGACCAGGACACAAACTTGAAACTCTTTAAAAGAGTTTAAAGGGGGAAAATGAATTTTAAATGAGAAAAAATTTTTTTTAATATTTTATTTTAAAAAAGTTTAAAAGGGATGGCCGGGCGCGGTGGCTCAAGCCTGTAATCCCAGCACTTTGGGAGGCTGAGGCGGTGGATCATGAGGTCAAGAGATCGAGACCATCCTGGTCAACATGGTGAAACCCCGTCTCTACTAAAAATACAAAACATTAGCTGGGCATGGTGGCAACTGCTTGTAATCCCAGCTACTCAGGAGGCTGAGGCAGGAGAATTGCCTGAACCCAGGAGGAGGATGTTGCGGTGAGCCAAGATCGCGCCATTGCACTCCAGCCTGGGTAACAAGAGCGAAACTCCGTCTCAAAAAAAAAAAAAAAGAAAAAAGTTTAAAAGGGGAAAATAAATTTTAAAAGACAAAATATTTTTGTACAGCCATACAATGTCTGTTTTAAGCTAAATGTTATTGTAAAAGGTAAAAAGTTAAATTTAGAAGTTTAGAAAGTCAAAAATTGACGGTAAGCTAAGGTTAATTTGTTATTGAGAAAAAACATGTTAGTATAGCCTAAATATACAGTAAGTATGTATGCATGTATATATTTTTATTTTTTAGCTCTTTTTTTTTTTTTTTTTTTTTTTTCTTGAGATGGAGTTTCGCTCTTGTTGCCCAGGCTGGAGTGCAATGGCGCGATCTCGGCTCACCGCAACCTCCGCCTCCTGGGTTCAGGCAATTCTCCTGCCTTAGCCTCCTGAGTAGCTGGGATTACAGGCACGTGCCACCATGCCCAGCTAATTTTTTGTAGTTTTTAGTAGAGACGGGGTTTCACCATGTTGACCAGGATGGTCTCGATCTCTTGACCTCGTGATCCACCCGTCTCGGCCTCCCAAAGTGCTGGGATTACAGGCTTGAGCCATCGCGCCCGGTTTGTTTTTTTTTTAAAAAGGGGGTTTCACCATGTTAGACAGGCTGGTCTTGAACTCCCTACCTCAGGTGATCCGCCCGCCTTGGCCTCCAAAGTGCTTGGATTACAGGCGTGAGCCACCGGGCCTGGCATATTTTTTAGCTCTTATACAGAAGAATGTATGTATTTATTTTTGAGACAGGCTGTCACACTGCCGCCCAGGCTGGAGTGCAATGGTGTGATCCTGGCTCACTGCAGCCTCAACCTCCTACGTTCAGAGGATCGTCCCACCAGACTCCTGGTTAGCTGGGATTAGAGTTGTGTTGCACCATTCCTCAACTTATTTTTGTATTTGTTTTTTGTAGGCACAGGAGTCTCGCCATGTTGCGCAAACTGGTCTTGAACTTCTGGGCTCAAACAATCTGCTTGCCTCGTTCTCCAGACGTGCTGGGATTATAAGTGTGAGCCACCACATGTGGCTGAGTATTCAGTATTTATAAAATCCACAGTAGTACACAGTTGTGTCCTAGGCCATCACATTCCGTCACCACACACTCACTGACTCATCCAGAGCAATTTCTAGCTCTGCAAGCTCCATTCATGGTAAGTGCCCTATACAGATGTACCATTTTTTAAACATTTATATCATATTATGACTGTACCTTTTCTAGGTTGAGACATATTTTTATTTACAAGTACATACCATTGTGTCACAGTTGGCTATAGTATTCGGTACATAACATGATGTATAGATTTTTAACAATAGGTTACACCATATACTCTAGATGTGTAGTAGGCTATACCATCGTGGCTTATGTAAGTGCAGTCAATAATGAAATGGTCTGAAAATACATTTCTCAAAACAAGTCCCGTTACTAAGCAATGCATGGCTGTATTTGCATTTAAACTGCACACATCCTTCTATATACTTTAAATCATCTCTTGATTACTTATAGATTAATGAAACTTATAATGGATTACTTAAAATGGATTAATGAAATTTACAAATGCTATATAAATAGTTGTTATACTTTGTTGTTTTCTTCTATTATATTACTTGCTTTTTTTTTGCCTTTTGAGACAGAGTCTCTCTCTGTCGTCTAGGCTGGAGTGCAGTGGCACGATCTCAGTTCACCACAACCTCCGCCTCCTGGGTTCAAACGATTCTCCTGCCTCAGCCTCCTGAGTAGCTGGGACTATAGGCGCGCTACCACTCCTGGCTAATTTTTGTATTTTTAGTAGAGATGGGGTTTGAGCGTGTTAGCCAGGATGGTCTCGATCTGCTGACCTAGTGATCTGCCCTCTTGGCCTCCTGAAGTGCTGGGATTACAGGCGTGAGCCACCATGCCAGGCCTTGTATTAGTTAATATGCTAAAATAGCATTCTGTTTTGGTTACAGGCCTGTCATTCCTTAGTTCTAACAGATCCTGCTTTTTCCTGCCTCCTACCCACACTTTTTTTTTTTTTTCTGTTTTTTTTCCTCTGCTTCTGGTCCCTGCTCAGGCCTCCTGTGCAGTGGTGATTGTAGCACAGACCAGTGCCCTTTTCCTTGCCTTAAATTAGAAGAAATGGATCCCATGTTTACTGTTGATAATGATGTTTTTTGAGATCTTGTTTAATATCATGTTTTTTCCAATTTCATTCTTGGCTTGAGTATTAATTATCTAGTAATTTCTTAGCTATGTGCTGCTTAGATATTTCCTATGACCTTTGTTCGTTTGTTTGTTTGTTTTTTGAGATGGGGTTTCACTCATATTGCCCAGGCTAGAGTGCAATGGTGCGATCTTGGCTCACTGCAACCTCTGCCTCCTGGGTTCAAGTGATTCTCCTGCCTCAGCCTCCAGAGTAGCCGGAATTATAGGCACCTGCCACCATGCATGGCTAATTTTTTTTTAATTTGGGGTTTTCACCATGTTGATCAGGCCGGTCTCAAACTCTAGACCTCAGGTGATCCACTCCCCTTGGCCTCCCAAAGTGCTGGAATTACAGGGTTGCCTGGCCTATTTGTTAAATCAATGTATAATATTCTTAATTTTCTGTCATATGTCACTGCTTTATTAACAAAATAAATCAGTAAACT